GAAGTAAACCAGCGTCACCTGCCCTCAATGTGGTGGACATGCACAGGAGAGAGCTCCCCCATTACTAACAAGGTTTTAAATCGTTAGAATCCAGCAGCGTAGACCGACTCTATTCTGCTACAGACGGTATATTTACTCACCTAACTTGGTGAATTAAGGATTTANNCAGAGTTGGTGATTGTTGAAAAGACTAACAAAGATGGTTTTGGTGAGTATTATTCCGTTTCTGTACACTGAAGTTACGAATGAAGTTTTTGTCTATGGAGTCTGTATCTTGTATTTTCATGGTATTATATGTTTCTAAATCAATTTTCAAATTCAAATTTTATTTTTAACAACAAACTGAAGCTGATTTTAGTGTCAACGCAGTTTGATTTTTAAGATAATACTGACAGCAGAGACTGCTCTTTGTCTCCACCTGGTGTTTGAAAGACGCCACTGTTTGACAGACAGAACCACCCTGGAACATTAACTGTAAAACTTGTAATAACAGCCCGGGCCTTTATTGGGGACAGGCCTTTATTAGGGACAGGCGTCTATTGGGGACAGGTGTTTATTTGGGACAGGTCTTTATTTGGGACAGGTCTTTATTGGGGACAGGTCTTTATTGGGGACAGGCTTTTACTGGGGACATGCCTTTATTAGGGAAAGGCCTTTATTAGGGACAGGTGTCTATTGGGACATGAATGACACTGAACATGAACGTGGTTTTACAGCAGCTGAAGATTTACGGCAGCCGGCGTACAGACAGTAAACAGACAGCGAGCAACAGACTGCACATAATAATTTTCACAGCTCGGAATAATTTAATGAAACACTTTGTTCTGATGGACCCTGACGGACTAAAGGAATATAAATAATGGAGGAATGGACTGTACGGACTTCATGATCTGGTCTCTCGTTTACAGCGCTGTTGAGTCTGAATGAATGAACATTAAACTTTAATGTTCATAGTGTCAGTAAAATGAAGGATTGAACTGATCCAACGATGTGCAGCATCCATATTGACAGAAGGTTAAACATTTATATATGTGTTGGAGATCTAAACGGCTTAAAGCAGCCTTTATTTGGGACCCTGCTTTTGCTGGAAGTTTTACGGTAGTTTACACATTGTTTATTTTGTTTAATAATTAATAATAATTAATATTCCAAACTGCAGCTTTCAATAATCATCTCACTGAAGTACTTACTCTACAGATTGACATAATTACAATATAATCAATAATGATTGATTATTACAGATTGAACTATTATAGTCATTAAAATTAGCTCCAGCTACATCATTAAAGTGATGAAAACATTAATTATAATCCAGATAGAGAGTGCTTTTATTTTGGTACTTTAATAAAAATAAAATGTATTTTTACACTTTAATCAAAGAGTCTGTTTGTGATATCAAACGCATTCAATATTTATATATTTATATATATTTACAAATATAATGAAATGAACTGTAAATTCAAGTTAGTGTTATTGTTAATAAATATAAATGTGTTGACTGTGTGTGAATGAATGAAGCAGGTTACAAGAAGAATAACACAGTTTTATTAAAATTTAATTTGGCTACATTTATTCGAGCATCTCCAAGAGAAATTAAAAATTCAATAATAATAATAATAATAATAATAATACTTCAGACATTTCAGGAATTCCTTCATCATCTTCATCATCAGTCCTTCGTCACCTTTTCAGTGGGATGAATAAAGTGGATTTTTACTCTCAAAAATACAGTGTTTTCACAATAATAATAATCGTATCAAAAGTTCCCCAAATTTAGAATTTCCAGTAGTTTGAAATAAAATAATAAAACAAAAGAAGTGAATTTTCGCTCTCTATTCATAGTTTGCTCCAATAGTCAATGACAGAATCATTTTACTAAAATATATCTATGTGTGAGGAACTCTAATACTGTACTCTACAGTATGAAATAAATAAAATTAGGAAATATAAAATGACTCACATAAATAAAATGGTAAATTCTCAAATAAAAACAAAACAAAAAAAGAAATTTGTGTTGGAAAATTCAACAAAAAAAAGTAATACTGACAAAAAAATACTGTCATGGAACAAAAAAATACAGAAAATTGCACAAACGTGTGTAAACTAACAAACTGCAGTCTATCTATGCTAATACTGACGGATGGGAACAGAGCGCAGTGTTCATCATGAGAGGACAGGTGGCGCTGTACAGGGATGGCACTTTAAGAACAGGTGGAAGGTTTGCATATAAGGCTTTCTCTGGAGAAACACACAAAAAAAGGCTCTGTCCTTTATTTCATCTTTTAAAACGGAGCCCTTTCATATTAACACTCCTTCCTCTCCTCTTTAAGACTCACATCCACATTTTATTTTGAAAATCACACAGGTTTAAATGTTCCTTCACATAAAGAAAAAAATAATCAGGAGGCCCAAAGTCGTGTGGTTAGTTGGCAAAAGTAATAAAAAAAGGATCAAAATAAAAAACATCACAGTAAAAGGAGACAAAAGATACGACGATAACACTGACAGGAAGTGACGAGTGTTCGAGGCTTTTCCCTCTTTTTTTATTCTTTTTTTTTTATTTTGTAGTGATTCGGGGAGTCGAGTGCAATTTCCTGATGTGGGGTTCGAACACAACGAGACACAGGAAGTTAAGAACATTATAGCACCACACAGCTTTTAGGCCTTTATAACACTGTACATTACAAACAGCTTCACTTCATTATAATGATCATCATTATTACTTCTTTTATTTTTAATTTTTTGCATAATGTGGATTTTTAAACAATCCCACCCAGCTTCATGGCGGGGATGTCGGCCGCCATCGCGTTGCATCTTCAGTTCGGGACCGTACAGAAATTATTCGGGGAGCGGAGAGGAGCTCTACCGTCTGGTTTTACTTCTTAATGTGAACATAATCTTGTTTCAGTCACTTATCAATACAAGCTGGAAACTTAATATGAAACTCTTTGTGACCTTTGACCTATCAGGTTCTCTCTATTCAATTCAATTCAATTCATTTTATTTGGTTAGCGCAATTCAGAACAGAAGTTTATCTCAGGACACTTTTCAAATAGAGCAGGTCTAGACCAACCCTTTTAACATTTACAGAGAACCCAAACAGACCACCATGAGAAACCTTGGGACTGGGGAAAGGAAAAAACTGCCTTTAACAGCGCAGAAACCTCGGACAGATCCCTCTAGGTTCTAGTAGTTTGGTGACTTAGTTTTCGCAGGCCTTGTTGGTGAAATACGTTAGTTGGAGAGCTAGCCACTAACTTGCTAACAGCCCGGGAACATGCTCGTGCTAATTAGTCTCAACAGCTTCTTATCTCCACTTTCTCTCTACTGACAGTTTGTTCACCTCCGAGTTCAATAAAAAGCAACTGAAGAGGTTAAATAAAAGTGCTCAAAGCTAACAAATATTAGCCATCACTGTCATCACTGGTGGTTAGCATCAAAACTGTTAGCTAGAAGCCTGAATTTATTTTAGATTCATACAATAAAAATGTTGGACATGATTGATGTATCTTACGAAGTTGTCGCAGTAACTTTAGTTACTCAAAACAACAATTATTCTTGCTAACAAATGTTAGCATTAGCTGTTATTACCACTAGCCAGCAGGCTGTGTAGCATGGTAGCTAATGGTAAAAACTGGTTCATACAAGATAGAAAATGACTCATTCATAACGAATGAATCTTAAGTGACTCCATAAAGTTACAGAATGAATTCGGAGATAAAACATTTTCTTATTTTACATTTTAGGGCCAGAAAAGTCACAAAAAGATGATAACATAAAGTATTTCTGACAAAAACAGACTGAACCTGATAAATCAAAGGTCACTGTTTGTTTTTAACTTGTTCTGAATTAACTGTAAAAACTGTAAAAAATCAGCTCAGAACAACGAACATGTTCCTTTTATCTGACTGTTGGGACGAATAAAGTCCTATTTTCTTTTTTTAAAGAACTCTTATAAGTTGAAATAAAATCTAAATCTGGGCTGAATTTTCATCCTGTCACAATCCGCTTTATTTCCTCCCCATATAATGTGTGCAGTCCCTTCAAAATAAAAGCATTCTCTCTGAATGGAGTGACAAATGTTCCAAAGCTCTTTAAGCTTTGTGGATCAGTCTTCCTGGTCCGACTTGCCGTCTGTCTTCCCTTCTCGTGAACTCTCGTCCATCAGCTGCGTCGTGTCTTTGCCCTCGCCGTCCCTCGCCGAGTCCATCTGGCTTCTGCTGTCACCTTCTTCATCCTCCTCCTCTTCCTCTCCTTCCCTGAAACTTGCCTCCTGTCTGTCTGTCACCTCCTCGTACGTCTTGTTGTCCACTTCCCTCTCCTCTCGTCCTCTTCCCTCGCTGCCGTCCCTCAGGATGGTACCTCCGCCGCTGCCGCCACCGTCCTCCTGCTGGTCCTCTGGGTCCGAGTACCCGAGTGGCCCCAGCCCCTGCAGGTAGGCCCTCCTCATCAGCAGCTCAGTGGGCTCCAGGCCTCCTCCTCCTCCTCCTCCTCCTCCTCCTTTGTCTCGGGCCTCCCTCTCGGCTGCTTCGCGCTCCTCCGCCTCCCTCTTGCAGTAGGAGTAGCGGTGGTTCATGTGCTGCGAGTACGAGCCCGAGTGGGAGAAGCGCTTCCCGCACTTGTCGCACTGGTAGGGTTTCTCTCCGGAGTGCAGCCGCGAGTGTTCGATCAGGTGGTGTTTGTGTTTGAAGGCTTTCTTACAGATCTGACACTGGTGAGGACGCTTCCCTGCAGAGACACAGGACGGGACGCGTCAGCGACATTCAGCACGCTCACATTTAATGCACAGAAGAAGAAATATCAGCTCTGTTAGCCATCACTGTTTCTCATCGTTATAAACACACACAAACCCAATTAGCATCACAGTTATCATCCAAACTGTTAGCTAGAAACCTGAATGTATTTTACACAATAAAAATGTTGTTGTCACGGTAACTTTAGTTTATAAAAACATTCTTTTAGCTGTGTTATTAACATTAGACAGCAGGCCGTCTAGCATGGTAGCTAACGGTAAAAACAGATTCATAACAAGCTTTTTAACCACAGAATCTTAATTAATGAACGTTTCCTGTTTTATTTTAGGTTGTAGAATGAAATTATAGTTTACTTTAAAAAATAACTTCATCTGAGTCTTAATTACTGCACTTTATGACAAATTGTCTGTGTTTCTTATTTAAATATATAATTCATTTTAAATTAATTGATCTGACTGTTTTTATCTGATTTAAGTTTTCTGTTCAGATCTCGTAGAATAATAATAATAAACAATTTGGGACAAACGATTAAAGGACAAATGTAATAATAAGTCATTTTTAATAAGTTGCACATTTAATGAGAAACGTGGACTCGAACTGTTCAATCAATAACTGGTTTTACTGCAGTTATTGATTGAATAATGAGAATATTGTTGTTTTATTTTATTATACATGTATTTGAGGTTGGACATTATCTAGAGAAGGTGTGTTTAGACTTTTGGTTTGAAGATAATAAAGTCTTTCTAATCAATCTGTGATCAAACTAAGATCAGTATAAATTACAATCAATAAAGTTCTGTTCTATAACCCCTAAAGGACCCTGTTAGGGTGAAGAGCTCATCCATGATTTTTTAATTTTTACAGTTTTTAAATTAAAGGTGAATTATTTAATCAGGTTAGTTAATCGTTGAATACAAATTAAAACCGGCTGTAACTTCCCGTTTGAAGTTCAACATTGACACAAAAGAGTAAAATTAATATTAGAATTAATATTAGAATCATTATTAATCAAAAGATTATTGATTAAATGTCCATAAACAGATGATTTCTCACTGTTTCTGTACATCGTGTTGAAGGTAGAAGGTCTCAGCTCTTAAACAGGTAAAATCACCGTTACACCAAACCTCATTCAAAAAATCACTCGTTTCAACGTTACGACCAACTAAGTCTGTCTTTATGTCCGACCTGATAATTACGCCGTTTGCACCGTTTTCTATATATCAGATAATAATCTGGCTCATTTATTAAAGATTATGTTCCTAATAGAAAATAAACTGATCACTTTGTTAAATATTGATCAGTATTGTGTCGTTTTATAATCTGTGTATTAAATGTACTTTTATAAACCGTCATCCAGCACTCTATTCGAGATTAATAAACTGAGCGGCAGTGGAAATCTCTCTGCTGATTGGCTGTTATTTTGTTGGAAGACACGTGATTGGTCGGTTTTAAACCCCATCCTCTCATGGACTTCCTGTCAGCTTCCAAAATAAGACTGTCCGTGTGTTACCACTGCGACGGCTAGCTGAGCTGAGATGCAAGACGCCGCGAGGCAACGTGAACCTGCGACAGTCTGATGACATCATAGCGCCAGATTTCAACCTGAGGAGGAGCGGGGATCCTTCGCGGCCATAACACCGCCCCCCCGACACACACACACACACACTCAGGATTTATCTGGTTGTTGTTGACTTTGATGATGAAGGTAAAATGATGTTTTGTTAATGCAGTCTGGTGTAGTGAACACACACTCACCTTCTCTCTGGCTGAGGGTCCGACAGCGCCACCCGCAGGAAGCCCGGGTACCTGCGACACAACTGCACACACAAAGCACGTCAGAACAGGTGTGTGTGTGTACAGGTGTGTGTGTGTACAGTAGGGATGGAGAGATTCACTGATTTGAATCGGTGGTTCGAGACAGACGTTTGCGATGCGAG